AATAATGGGGGCTAAACTTGGTACATGGATTTTAAATCAATCATACAACACGAATAAAATCAAATTTGTTCTCCGTAACTTTATAGCGGTGCTGCCCGCCGCCACCGGAGTGCAAAAGTGTGCTCCGTGGAGCGGAATGAATAATCGATCAGCCTCAACTCTGGCCAACAACTTCCGCCGTCAGCTTTGAGGCAGAAAGTCCAACACCTCAGTGCAGGTTTTCCTCCAACTTGGCCCGAGAGGGAAGATTGTGTGTGAACAAGAGAGCAAGCGGGCAAACTTTGTACATTTTATATTTGACTTTGGCGACCTCGCGTTCCTTTTGTAGCCTGGACGGAATAAAAAAAATCGGCCAGAGAAAACAAGCTCTTTGAAGGTTGATAGCCCGGCTCAATTTGGCGCCGCCGGGGCCGAGCAAGTTCGGTCATTAAGGGAGCAAAGCTAAAGTTGACTGAAAAATGGAAAGGTCAACAATGGCCGGAGCGATCTTTTCATCACTCACCATCAAAAGTTAATGACCATTTATACGCACTCGCGCAGCTTTCGTGCCGCCGCTAATTTATGTTGGCCATTAATTTATGGACTCTGCTGGTGCGTTTTATTGCGCGCGCTCAAAAATGGCACAAAGTCTGGCCAGCTTTTTGCCAGCTTTGTCTCTTTGACTCTTGACGCGCAAATTGCCACCCCTATCTCGGCAGAAGCCTATTTACCAGCGACCGGCCTGTTTGTGAAATTCCTTGTTTTTGCTTGTGTCGGCGTCGCTACTAAAATGAAATTCAGACCTGGTCAGCAGCTCGCGAGATGAAAGTGGCAAAAACGACCCTCGAAACGATGGAAATAATTGAGAGCAGCCCCGTCGTTTCCTCTCTGCTTTTTGTCCGCTGCGTTATTGCGGTTATTAAACAAACGCCGCGTCTGTTTTTGTCACCTCGTAATTGCGAGGTGGGAATTCGGAGAACCTTGAGAGCCTTTTTAATGTGTTTTAGGTTTTCAGGTCGCAAAATAAAAGCCACTAGTGTGTGGCTTCGGTGACAATAACTACATTAAAATGTAACCAAACTCCAGGTGTTTTTAGTTTATACAATTATTTCAGCAGTGTTTTTTGTTAATTTCATATGGATGAAGGATGAATTGAAGGAAAATTTAACAAAAATATTATAGAGTTTTTGAATTTCTAATTAATTTAACAGTTTTTATGATTAAGAGTATGAAACAGAGTAAAAACATGGAAATATTTTTTTTTATAAAGAATGCAAACAATTTAAATAATTTTGATATATCTTCAACAATATGACAATTTTACTTTTAAATATTAAATATTGTTAGTAACAATTTTGCTATTTCTTGATAAAACTATGTAGTATATAATTTAACATTATTTAATTAATCAAATTAAATACATTTCAAAAATAAATCAAATTATATAGTTTAATGATCAAAATAGTTTTTATGTATTCTATATAATTATAATTTTGTCTTTCATTTTTTTTCACTTCATCACAAAAACATTTTTTTTACTATCAGTTTAAATATCATAAACGCTTAAATTGAATCCCAATCTGTTAAAACACTGCAGTTGTTTATTCATTAAATACACTACAGAAAATTTGACGTGATTTATACAAAAGAGTGTGTGCACAAAATAATTCAACACGAGCAGATATGAGCTTTCACGTTGCGAACTAAAAAGCGGCAAAACTGCATGCATGGTTATAAAAAAAGCGAAACAATTCATTCGAGCACACGAGAGATTATACTGCGTTTTGAATGCAGCACATATTTGCGCCGTAATTGCTGCCACTGCGAACACAAAACAAGATACACACACCATATTCAGCAAAAGTCACAGAGCTGAATTATTCATATGTTTGCAAATTAAAACCGGTCGCTGTTATATATGACGCGACCGAAAAACAATCGGCATTATATTATTAAATTATTTTCAAATTCCACTCGCGAATCACAATACTTGTGTCGTGCAAAAACTTCATTAAAATGACCGGTGGCTATTAATTCAAGAGAGACTTTTGCATTTTGGAAGCTGCTTTGTGTTGCAGGACAAGAACATAATGAACCTCTGAAAAAATATGAAAAAAAAGACGAGCCAGCGAGAGCAATTTCTGTTTTAATAACGCTCTCTTTGGATGACTTAATGGCTTTTTTTAATGCGCCAGCGATCCGAACTCGTTTTTTCCCTACACAATGGCGGCAGATCTTTTATTATCCTTATAATTCAGCTCTCGGTTACTATGGCGGCGGTGCACGTTTTAAACGTACATGACATTTGCGCTGATTATTGTGTGCTCGATTATAATTCCGAGCGCGAGCCGGATCTTGATTTAAAAGGCTTTGTTTGCTCAATTAGTGAGAGACGGAGAACTGGCAAGAGATGTTTCCTCATCCCACGGAAAAAATAAACAAAAATCGCAATAAAGAACCAACCGGCTGCCAATTAAAAATAAAAATCCATTTTTTTTTATCCTTCAACACAATCAAATCACAACGCTTTTTTTGTCGAAGCCAATTCCGGAGGAAAAAGTTGCACAACTTCTGTTGATTGGCCGGATAACAACGAATTTCCAATACATCATCGCTCGTAAATTATTTCGCTGACTGTCATTTTAATCTGTGAAAAATGGCGTGAGCAGATGTCACCAGAACACGTGCGCGCAGAGTGACCGATGTGCCTGCCAATTAATCCGACCTCGTGTTTCGCAACTCGCCACCCGTGTTTCCGTTTAATTAGTCAGTAGCCATTTTATTTGTGAATGTTCAAATTTGCGTGAAAGATAAAAGGCGCCAGAATCGGTGAGCAAAAATGCCTTGTTAAATCGGTCCGCGTTCAAATTCAGCGTGGGATGCTGCGGCCGGTGTTGCGGTGACGACTGACCATTCCACCCACTGTTTCGTCATAATTAAATTGGTTGTATTTGTTGGTCACCATTGCCCATATTTCCACTGACAAAATAGAAACTAGTAATTAATATTCGTTCACGCATAAAAATTTACTGAAAAAAAAAATTAAAAACAAATGTATAAAAATAATTATAAAAACGGTTGAATAGAAATGAGGGGAAATCAAATGAGTAAATAGAAAAAAAAATTAATTTGTCAAGAGTGAAGAAGTTATTGGCATATTGAGAGATATTCATGGAAGAAAATAGACTCTGTTCTTGTTGAGAAGATATTTTTTACTTAATAATAAATATAATACAAAACGGCACCGCAACTAGTGAGAATTTTGCTAAAACTTCCGAGATAAAAAATATCCCATCCAATGAGTGAAACTTGATGTACATAATATTTTAATTATTTTATAATAATATTATTTAATAAATTTTTTGTTATTATTTAATTTAAAATTGTTTCACGCGCGTAAAAATATATCTGCATTAAATAAAGACTTGTATACGACAATCTAAACCAGCACACAATTAATTGGAGATAAAAAAAAAATGACAAAGCGCGAAACAAAAGGCAGTGAGCAAACATCACCAGCACATCAATCCCGCAACGACGGATCCAACGCGTTTCCATTCGGCCGTGATTAATAAAATCCACTCGGCCAGCAGCGTTTCAATCAGCAAATTTTTGAGCGCAAACAGGCGCAAATTATTTCGACATTGATCCTTTTGTAGCTTTTGTCGACGCCGAATTGCAATTTGCGCATCGCCAACAGGCGGTGTAATTAATTCCATCGGTCGCGCGCCCGTATTATATCGATTGCCAGTTGGCATCGCGGACGCTGCAGTTCCGCTTTTATTTATGGCGAAAACACGTGCACGCGCTGACGGGATTTCGTTTCTCGCCAGGCTGCTGCTGGATCAAGCCATTAGCCAAAGAGAGTCGCTATGACACTCCAGGGACACTTAATATGCAGTAAAGCACCTACACATATATAAATGCACGCCACTCTGTGATATACGTTCCAAAAACACATGTGCGATGAGCTCGAAATATGTACAAATAACGTGTTTCTAATCCAAACTAGGCAAATTATGAGAGACTGCGAGTTAAAAATTCCTTTAAAGAGGATTTCTGTGAACCGCCAATGTAAAATTAATAAATAAATTTTTTTCCTTTTTATTTTTGGAAAAATTATCGTTGTTAAAAGAATTTCAAAATATCCTTTTATGACCTGAAGTGAGAGAATAAACAAATTGCATTCGTCAGGAAAATGTATTCAATTCAATTATTTATAATCCATCATATTTATCAATCATTTTTATTTTTTTATGTAATCATGATAATCATCCATCTCTACTATGTTCAAATAATTTTTTCCAAATATTGATTATCTACCGTCATAGGAAAAATGTATGCGAATATTTGAACAATAGTTATGATATCTGATAACTATGTTATGCCCAATTTGCTTAAATATCATTTGAATTTACGTTTTCAGAAGCTGTCCATTCAAACAAATATATATATCATATTAAATAATGAAATAGTTATAAAAAATTAATATTTCTCTATGTAAATTGAACACAAATAACGTTTTATTAAAAATTTTTAAGAAATAAATTTATTAATTTAATTTGTTTTATTCTAGCTCTCAACTAAAACAATAATGTAACAAATATAGAGGAATTTTATTATAAAAATCCTATAAATTTATACTATAATAATTTGTTATTTAAACTTTTTTATTTATATCTATTGCAGCAAAATTCTTTCAATACATTGCTCATTTTCTTTAAATTGAATTACTATTTAGATTTAAGATAATGATAATTTATATTTGTTAGGGTCTGGCCAAAACGAAGTCATTTAGTGCCTAGCCATGAAAAAAGCATCCTCAAAATTCATATATTATCATCCACAGATTTCTTTAAACTTTATAAAAATCAAGAGAATAATTGGCAATTTTGTGACAACCGTTTCCGAATTATTATTCAAAATCTTTCTCCAATAAATACGTAAAATATTGCTTTTTTCCAATACATTTTTTTTTTTTAGAAAAAATTAGTACTGCATTGTTCTATATTCGTGCATACCTATATATGTAGCTCCAAATCCTCTCTGGTTGAAGATTGATGAAGTGGTTGTTTGTTTGAGAAAGTGGTTGCCATCTCCTCCTCCTCCTCCTCCTCCCCTGCACCACATCCAAATACTGTCAGTCTCTGTTTTATTTTGTCGTGCCGAGTGCGGCGTGTGCGAGTGTTACGGGCAAAAAGCAGGCAGCCAGTCCCATGATTTAGTGCGGCCGGTTAGCGAAATTCATGTTGATGTATTGCGGTACGTGCCGCGCGAGAGACTCGCGTCATTTCGCTCCAAGCCGAGTGTATTGTTCAAAGCAACTCACTTTTGCCAATTCCCTGCACGACTCATTGCTTCTGCGTTTGCCGCTCGCTGCCCCCAAAGTGGCACGGCATTTCGCTTCATTAATTCCGCGACAGCTTGTCGAACTTGATTTTCGTGACACATGAGATCTCTTTCATACGACTTTTGTCTGGATCCATGCGGATCAACTCTTTTCCTGATTCACACACCGACAGTAATGGCATTGGAAGATTTCTGATTGTGAGTTATACGAACTACAATGAATCGAAAAATTTATAACATAAAAATGAAGCAAAAAAGTGGCTTTATATTAATTAAGATTATGCTCTTAATTGATAACAAATTGAATGAATAAACTGAATTAAAAATTTGATATTAAATTTTTTTCAATTAGGCCAAATTTCGGGTGTGTCAATGTCTCTACTCACAATCATCTAAATTTAAGATTTTCCACTAGTTAGGATAACATAACAAATTAATTAATCAAAGATTGAAAAAAAAAATGTAAAAATACATGAGATTTAAGAGCAACATTTAATATCATCAAGCACTCTAATAGAAATAAATATTTGCAGTTTAAAAAAAAAATTCAAATAATTAAATCTGTGTGCACCGCTTGTTTTTATGCGATGAATTTTCTTTTAAAATTCGATGTTTTTTACATTTTATAAAAAAAATTTGAAGTAATCAAATTATGATTTTAGGCATTTAAAAAAATAAATTTTGATTTATTTAATGATATTTAAATAAACAAAGTTTTGATTTTGAGTATTTTAACTTATTTTATTTATATATATTAAGTTTTTTATTATTACTTTTTTATAATTCATTTTAAAATTATTATATTAATTATTAATATTCCACATGTTTTAAATGCGTTCGAAATCTTTAAAACCTTATTGCATTAAAGGAATTAAAAATTTATATTCTTTCACAACCAATTAAAATTTCAATCATGTTAACTTGTTGAAACATATTTTCGTTACTGAAATTTGGTTTAGTTGCTACGTAAGGGGGAAATTTAAATTTTAAAATATCGAAGAAATTAGTTACTAATTACAAAATTTCATGTCAACATTCTTTTACTTTTAAGCGCTGGTGACAACGAATAAGGTCATCTTGTGACTTTGGCTATGAATATGTCTGTTCTCCGCTTTAGTCTGCTCACAGTTGAATATTCTTCGTATCCCTTTTTGAACGCAACCGAGCCGAGCATTAAATTTCATTCACCACCATAATTCGCGACTCTTTCTACTCTGCTTTAATTTCTCATCACAATCAGCGCAACGAACTTCGCCAACTGAAAATTTCACCCCATTTCTCCTCCCCGGGGGGTGCTTGAGATTAGAATCCGCTACTTGAAACGGCGGCTGCCTGTCATAAAGTGGGTCATATTTTATAAATTCAGCAAGCTAGGTGCTGTAATAACTATCACGAGAGAGAGAGAAAACGTGCAGGACGATTATACAAAAGACGAGCGTGCATTTCTAGTCTCAGGTGCTCACTGAATAAAGTTCTTCTCCGCGATAACAATGTTGATCTATTCTCTTTTCTTAAGAAAGACACGCTCGTAAATCTGCTTAAAAATTCACTCCTGCATGCTTTTTAAGCTTGTTAATAACGAGCCGCTCGAGTCTAATTAAGATTGTTAAATTATTCCTCGCGAGCTGCTTTTCAAACGAGTAAAGGCAAATTGGAAACGTCTCTCAATTGGGATAAATATGTTTTTCGGCTCCTCTTTGGCCCTCGCAGGCAATAATTCGAGGGTGTTTCGCCTCCTCCATTCATCATGTGCGCCCCATTGCTTCTCTGCGGCGGCGGCCGGGATTTATTTTCCGAGCAGGAAAAAGATACCCGCGATCGAGAGCCGGGAGATGTTTCACTTGATATTCCATTTTCGAATATGTATGCGTGTGTTTCCAGAGACGTGAGTAAACACCGAGTGCTGCGGTGCGGCCGACCGAAAACTAATTTGAGCTGCTGGAATGATTTTTCCATTTACGGAGAAGCTTCTCTTTTAATGTGAAAAATGAGATGGAAATATGCGCTGTGTTATTCCCCCTCTCTGAAATGAGTTCGTTACGTTAAATGCGCGGCTCGCTCGCTGCTTCGTGGAAATTATTTTGTATTTCACTTTGCCCCCGTCCAAGTGAAAACTTTTTCTGCCAAAGGGAAATTGGAATTGGCACCGATTTTTCCTGGTATGTTAACTAAAGAGGTTCGTTTGCGGTTCGGTATAATCAAAAGTTCCTTGATTAATTACTCGTTATACTAAATGTTTTGTGGATAAACAAAGAATACACAAATTTGTCAAAACAAAGCTTGTTAACAAAATAAATGATGATTTTCGTTCATAAAAGGCTTATTTAGGGCTTTAGTAAGCGAAAAAATAGCTAGTTCAGATTCAAATTAACTTCATTAGAAACTTCAAGCCTGCTTCAAGCAAACTATTTTTAATTGAATCAAGAATCAAGGAAAGTTATTAACGAAAGAATCGTTAATTTTGCTTCAAAATAGTTTCCAAATAACATTCGAACCTAAAAGTCATCATTCATTGTAAATTTACATCAATTAATTAAAATATCTTGTTTATTACACAATTTTAATTAAAAAACATTCTTTTAATTTTAACATGAAATCTCGTTAGCTGATCGTTTTGTTGGATTAGATTTAAAATCTTGCAAATCAACTTTGTAATATTATTATTTCTATCTCAACCACGTTTTGCTCCTTTGTTAAAAATAATAAATTCACCACCGTTAATTTTCACGAGATGAAATTAATTCCTGCTTAATAAATATTAACAAAACGTGCGGTAGTTAAACGCTGAGAGACCACTACTTGTCTCTGCTCTCGTCGTAGCAACTTTTTAATGGCGAGTTAGTTCATTTTTAAGTGAGAGCCAAGTTCTTTCTTTAAGCGGCTGCACGAGCGAGCGACGCAAAGCATGTTTAAAACTTGCATTCAACTTGATGAATTCGCTCGCAGGCGCAAAAAGTAGTTAAGAGCGAAATCCCTTCCATGGGCTTTATGAATCCGGCGGACAAGCTGTTACTCTCGGCAGCTTTACATGTTAATTAGGTATACACACAATATTTTTCACGCGGCGGCACGCGCTCTTCTCTCTTTCTGAGAGAAGGGATAGGGGATCCTCGGACTATAGTTTATTCAGAGCGAAAAAAAACGAGACGACGGTCAAAGCAAACAGAGAGGTAGCGTGGAAGTTTTTAATTTCTAATCCCGGCAGGTAGATTGGGTTCCGACACAGAATGCAATTTCCATTTTTAATCACCGCTTACGTCTTCAAACTCCGACACGAAGACCGGCCGCCGTAATTGTAATTAAAAAGTTGGTCGGCACCGTTCGTTGTCTGCAGCGGAGGAGAGGCTTTGAATGGCACGACATCAGCAAACTAGCCGTGCACTCTTGACGATGCAACTTGCTCATGAGAGGAAGAATAAGAAGTAGTAGTTTTAAAAGAGGATCTGCACTTGATTAAATATAATTACTGTTAACGGTTGTCTAGTTTTTCAGAACTAAAATTTAATTGTAATTCATGAACCTTCGAATCCCAATGGTTATTATTATTATTATTATTATTCTAAAAAAATATATTTCCTGTATATTATGGTGTCTTTTTTATTGATTTTTTTGCAAAGGAAAGTTGCAACAAAATGAATTACTGCTATTATTACTTGCTATTAAAATTGTTTTAACTAAAAATTAAAAAGGATTATCAATGTTGATTAATTTGATTTTTTAATATGATTTTTATTATTTAAAAATAAAAAACACGTTTACACTAAACATAATTAAATTAATTTACCATTTATTAGATAGAATATTTAATATGAGATGTTAGAGGTATTTTTTTAATGTTTAAATTATTAGTGTTACAAACTATCCAGAATAATTCTTTAATTTTAATAGAAAAAAATTTCAGTGTTTTTTTATTGACGTTAAACTAATATTAAAACTAAAAATAAAGCATTTGATATAAAAATAAGAGAATAATTAATGAAAAAAGCTTGTATCCTCACTGCCTCTGTTTCAGTTTTTCTGTTTGCACTAAATAAAAATAAAGAAATATTAGTTAGAATCTGGTTAGAATATAATTTTTTACTGATAAATTTAAAAAAAACGACCTCTTGTTGAATCCAATATCAATCATTAAAAGAAAAGTTAAAAAACCTATTCTTTTTTTCAATATATATAGTGTGGGTTCAACGCGGCGGCCGCGTCTTTTTTTATGTTCGGGCGTTTTAGTAGACCTCTGCTAGTTTTGATACCTTGCTGCTCATTTTTCCCATTTCAACTTTTTTGTACGACTTGATTAGAATAAATAATAATAATAAATTTCCAATTCATTTTGTATATTGTTTGATTCATATACCTGGGATCAATTTCCCTTTGGGCCATAAAACCAAAAAAAATTGTGATCGCCATAAAATCAACCGTTATTTGCCTGATTACCAAGGGCAAATAAAGTGCCTTTAATTGGATTTGTGTCTCTGGGGAGCGAGCTTCCGTCGAAAACGATAATTTGCTTCACAAAATAATAAAAAAAGGAAATTTCCGTTTAGCGGCAAAATCGAAAAGCAGGCAATTAAAGCGGATCTGGAATAAGTGCGAGTTTCCCAACGGGCTTGTTTGAAAGACCATCGGGCGGATATTACTTTTCAGGCCGTTAGCAAAACCAAAGTTAAAATGCCACCCGGGTCAATTGCCGCCCTTAATTTGAACGGCGCGGAGCAAATTTGCCCGCTTCAAAAGCTTCAAAAGCAGGGCCAATCTCGGAGTGTTTCGCGGAATGCAGCTCCGGCGATACATAAATATAATCCCAGGCACAGCGCATATTACGCCAAATTGTTCCTCTGGGGTCGCAGGCTAAATTATTCGAGCTTAACTCGTGATGTTTTTTGCCGGCGCCGGAAAATATGGAAAACATTAACCTCAGCCGCGAGTTGAGAGAGTAGAGGCGGTTTTGTGCGGCGGTTTTGCGGCTCTTTTTGCTTTCAAACGTACACACATGCATGGTCGCGTTATCAAAGCGGGATTTTTCGCCGCAACCCCGCTCACTCTGTTGCCGTTCACCGACTCTGGCACGTGCTGCACTGAATTACTTGCTATCTATCCGTGACTCTAGCTTGCGGCACGCAGAATCCGCTGCATCCGACGGTCCATCTCTCTGCACTAGAAAAAAGTAAACGATTCTCAATAGCTATAGTATATGAAAATAAATACAATGCTATTTATTTCTTTGTAATTCAGGAATTAGTGGTAGGAATTTATCAGGGTCTGACTCAATCATATATGAAATAGGCCTCTTGAAAATCCAGCAATAATTACAAAAATCGTTTGAATCAATTCTTTGAGACTTAGTTAGACGTATTCAGAGATTTAAGATTGCATAAAAACTCAATTTTCTATTTTTTCTTTATTAATACAATATAAATTGATGAAATTTCCTCGAAATTTTTTTTCGTCGTGAATCATAAAGGTTTCTTTCTTTCAATATAAAAACGATTTAAGAAATTCGCAATAATATAATTAACTAATCCCATATTATGAATTGGCGACAAATGAGGATAAGTTTTGTTGGTATGTATTATGTTCCAGAATATATTTTTGGGTTGGCACTACTGTATTATACATTGGCTTGTTGCTACCAGTTTTTACCAGTTTAAATAAGTGGATTTTCTTATCACTATGGGTGTTAGTGGGCGTTATTCCTACAGCTGATTGTCTGCTTCCTTAACTTGTGTTGGCGAGTTTTTGAAAATGAGTTTCAATCTTGTATCGGTGAGTTTTGTGTTTTTCTTGAGTTAAATGGTAAATAAGCTCACAATTCTTTCCGTCTATGACTGGCTTAAATGTTACGAAACTTTTATTTGTGTTTGCATATAAAAATTAAAATACTTAGTTGCAATAATTATATTGATTATTCTTTATTTAAAAAAAGATGTAATAAATAGCAATTTTTAATTAATTTATTTACGTTTATTATTTTATTTTTATCTACATCTTTCTTTAATTATTGTAAATTTATTTGCAAACATTGTCTGTTTTAAGTCTGTTTTAAATTAATGTAAAAAAACTATTTTTTTAATTATCAAAACGTTGCTGATGGGCAACATTTAAGTATATTTAGAGATTAACTCTACTAAAATTTTCTTTATTGAGGAGTTTTTATATATTTTTTTTGCTCTACGATGCCGTCGATGCCCATGCATAAATATAATTACGTATTTCCAAGACTAGCAGTTTGATTAAGAAGAGAAACATATATTTTTGCACTGATAATTTTTTTGAAAATTTTAATTAACGCAATATTACGCAAGCTTCGTTTGAATAGTCCGGTTATCTAACAAATTCCATCTTCAAAACTTTGTACTCGTCTTAATTCGCCGAGTTGGATATTAAAATTTCAACTGTCTTGTTTGCATTAAAGGTGCCAAAAGTAGTTAAGCAGGCGTCGCGTCACCGCCTTGCTTCTCAGTGGCAAGTTTCTTGTTTCGCCTCTCGCGTTGCGTGCACAATATCGTACGGCGTCGTGACTGGAATGATGTTTGCCGAGAGTCCCCGTTGATCCCCGGGGCTTAGCGGGACGCGCACTCGGCCTATTCTCAACCCCTTTCCCATCACCATAAACCTTGAGTCCAATTACCGGCGTGTGCGATCGCACACAATTCCAATCACGACCGATCGCCCATCGCTACTTTTTATTCGGCTAACCCTTTTCTCGCCTGTTTCAATTGGACTTAAAGGGAATAAGGCGCCGACTCGCTTTGTTTTTTAAGCTTTACCGACGACGCACATTCGGATCTAACATTGCCGGCAACGAGGATTTATTATTTTTTATTTTGTTATTTGCTGAACGGTCAAATAAGGCTTTATAAGTTTCGGCAAGCTTATTTGAACGTATCTAGAAAAAGTTGGATTGAGAAAGTCTTTTTGTATGTCCAATGATTGCCGAGGATTAAATTTGTTTGTGAGTTTCATATACGCTTTTTCGCAGAAACAAAACAAACATTGAAGCTTTTGTACTTTTAGTAAAAATTTCTAAATAAAAATGGAAAGAAAAATTTTAACTGTTTTTACGTCGTGAGGTTTGATATTCATTTATTTGTTTAAGAACGAAATTTCCAAGTATACCAAAAGAGGCAGTTCAAAGGAGTTCTTTTATTATAATATCTTTTTTTTTTAATTTGTCAATAATTTTGGGGATCAACTGTTAATCAGTGTAATACAAAATATAATGAAAATAAGCATTTAATTAAAATTTCGCTAGTCAAAAGTCAAACTCTATCTTCTCCAAATACTGATCGAAATATTAGGCAATTAAATAATACACATTCCTCTTAAATAAAAGAACAGTGCTAATATTTGAATTTATTTTAATTTTGGAAATCTTTTTCAAATATCAGTCTCATTTCACTTGCAGAGAAATTCCGTTTGTGTGATGTTGGTGAGCAAAAACTTTCAAATTTAATTCGGACGTTACAACATGTATAAAGAGCGCCGGAGAGATTGGATTTGAAAAGTTTATTTCCTGCTGCTGCCGCCGAGAGAGAAGCGAAAAGTTTTGTACACAGAAAAAGCGAAACAGCTCTCTTTGAAAATGTATTCAGCACGAGGCATTTTAATTTTCCGCGGATGAATATTTAGTAGCTGGGGAAAAACTAGGCAGATGGAATAATTCCAGAGACGACCGTGGGCGCGCGTAGCAAAAAAAAAAATTGTAAATCGCGGCATGCACACGGTGCGGAGTGAAAAAGTGAGGCCACTCGGCACCGATTCGGTGTCTGTACATTCGGCGCGCCATTAATTTGGGTCATAAATTATACATTCACAGCTCGGGTGCCGGCAGAGGAAATGAATAAAAAAGGCACCTCTGGCGCGTGGAAAAAAATTCATAACACACAGTGTTGAAAAAAAAATGCACCGATATCGTTCTTTAGTGAGAAAATATATATCATTCGTTCCTTTTTTTAATTAAACTCGTGGCGTCTATCGGCAGTGGAATTCAATTCATCGCCGAGAGTCAATTAAACGGAGAAAAGAGAGGAAAATGAATTTATATATGAAATCCGCACGTGTGCCTGAAAATAATGGCGCAATTTGATACTGCAGCTGTTGCCCGACGACTTACCATAGCGGACCGTCCTTAATTTTCACTCCAATATTCATTTGCTCGCAGTTCGTTTAAATGGGTTTTTCGCACTCTGCTGGAAAATTGTAGTAATTTTTCAACTCGTTTATAAATTTGGAAGTTCCATTAAAATTAAAAATTATAGTCAATGAATCAATACACCATTGTTCTAAAATGTGCATTTCCACGTTTTCAAATGTGAGAAGATACAAAAAGGTGGTTTAAATGCACGTTTGAGATCAAATAAATAACTTTTAAATGAGAGAGAGAAAATTGATTTTATTAAGTTTCCTCGGTTCTCAAATGAATTAAATTAAATTCAAAATTTATTATTTTGGTATTAATCCTTGATCCAGAAAAAAAGGGGTAAAAATGGTGGAAAATTTTAATAATTTTATTCACTTTCTTTCATGTTTCCAAAAGATTTATATCTCTTTAAATAAAAAAAAAGGGGGGAAACTGAGAAGCGATGGCTTTTAAATTTCCTCTGTTAGAAACTGATATTTAAAAGATAAAAATTGGTTTCAATAGTTGGGATATTTAAGGTTCAAAGCTCAAAGATTTATGTTAATCAATTTCATTTAAAACAAATAAAATTTCCGTATAATATAATTTTCTTTTGTATATTCTAATTTCACACTTGACTATTATTTTACATTCAAATTTGTTACTTTCATTTCTCTCTTGTAAGATAGTGACCTAAAATATTTGACCTTTGTGTTTCAGTTCCATCGACCAGCGTGGAAGGAGTGCTGGGAAGGAGAGGCACCCTTCCGTGCAACATTGAGCCTTCAGAGCGATCCGACAGCGTCTACATGGTGCTCTGGTTCAAAGAGGCTGACGGCGAGCCATTGTACAGGTGAGTGGCTGTTGTTGATTCGCGCGTTTTCCACACGAAATAGCTTTGTCGAAATTTTCCTCGGCGCTTCCATTAGTGCAGACAACAATCGAGTTTGGCTGCACGTACGGAAAACTGGATTTCGCACTTTCCTGGAAAACAACGTTCAAAGTCGCCGGAGATGCGTGTTATTAATTTATATAAATTCATATCCTGACGTGCCGAGCGGGCCTGAAATTGGTTTATCGCGCGGAAAGGGTTGGTTATGTATTGATGGGTTTGCCAACTCTGGAAAGCTTCTTTGAGCGCGCGTCGGAGGCAAACTTTGCAAATCTCTTCACGCTCGCGCTACGTGTACGAACGAGCATTTAATTGAAACTTTTCTGCAGCCAGAGCTAAATAGATTATTGAGTTGACGGGTATTAAAGGGTCTAAGTAACTTGATTACAAATTACTGCAGTCGATACAGGCACCCGATCCCGTGCCTTGCAGCGCCTTTATAGACGAACGACTTATCTATCCAGCTGCTGCCACCGCCGCCGCCGGGGCTTCTTTCCTTATTTAAGTTTGGAAACTTCGCGTTTCAAAGAGACCTTCCTGCCGACGACGAGCAACCATTATCTTGTCAACAGACTCGCGCAACTTCATTATTACTTAATTATGGTGCATGCTTCGGTTGATCCCATGATATTCGAGCTTAAAATGGTCAAGTTAACAATCAAACATTTTATTTTCTTATTGATTCCTGCCAAAAATTTTAATATTTTTTTATTAACTAAAAAAATTAATAAATTATAAATATATTCAGAGATAAATGAATTTTCATAATATTACGTTTAGTGGTAAAATATTTAAATTCAGATCAACTTTGTTAATGCGTTTTTTCCCTCAGCGGAGAGAAAAATTCAACACGTTTATTCTAGAAAATGAACACTGAATTCTGGAGCCAGAGAAATCAATGAGCACGCTTGAAATTAATTAAAAATTATGGATTTTTTTAAGTTTTTTTAATTTATTTAAAAAAAAAGAATATCCATAACTGTAAAATTTACACTAGTGCTCCCTATTTCCTTAACATTTTATCAATCATGTGAAATTTGATTTGATTGTTTGACAAAAAATACTTGTTGTTTGAATAGGTTTTTAGTGGTTTTTGGCAATGGTAAAGTTTGCTTCAAGCCAACAATTGCTCTTTTCAATTTAGTTTTAGTAATAGTGAAGTATTTTTTACGTTTTTATTATTATTAAATTATTGAAAACATTAAACGTAAAAGAGACTGGAAAAAAATTTAATGTCAATATTATGAATCACGCCTTTTGATAAGTAGCTCATTAATAAACACAATGGACAGGTTTTGCAAGGGGAAGAGTTTCATTGAACGCGCTCGTCAAACAAATGGGGTTTCAACGAGTCGCGCACACAGTAAAAAAATGTGAAAGTATAATAAAGGCGGTGGCGTCGACGGCGGCAGTTTAATTCACAGTCAATTTTTGCAAGCATCTGGTGCCGCAGGTCACGCAGAGCGGCGGATAACAATTGAATAATCAATCAAAGCAAATCGAGTTTGTAATTTTATTGCTGGGGCGCGTTCGCAAGTCACATGCAGCGCGACGCGAGTAATGACTTGGGGAAATAAATATTCAATCAGCAGGAGGATTATTGGTAAACCATTAGCGCGGAATAAAAGCGAGGATTTATCACCCGCAGAGGGATTTTTCCACTGAAAGAGAGGAAGGTCGTGCTCATTGTTCCACAACTGCAAATTGGCGTGGCTGGTTAAAAAAATGAAAATGTAGATGTTTGCGAGTAAAATGGTTAATGGTGAAGTAAAATAAGAAATAATATGCTCAACAATATAGTATTTATTAAAAAAATATATATTTTCCACACCTTTTTTATATATATTATACTTATTATACGCAAATATATATTTTTTTTAAATTTTGTTTAATTATTCATGAAATTTTGTTAAATATGAAATTATTTAAATTTGAATAATAGTGGAACAAAAAAATTTGTATTAAAATAATTTATGATCTTCTTATTTTTATATATTGTTTTGACTGACTTCTATGAAATATATATATGGTTTCAGTATATTACGTGCTACTAAAATAAGCATTCATTGCAATGAAAAAATTTAATAAATTACAAATTACACCATAACAAAATACATTGAACTAAATCCATCATTAGTTGTGGACTTGTTAAAAATGCCTCTGGATATTTTAGTTTCAAATTCAATCATGTTTATAAATGTATCACCAGGCATTCTCTGCCGAAATACATAATCCATTAGTTTAATATTGTTAATAAATAAAAATAAATAAATAAATTTTAGAGAACATGAAACACGATTTAATTATTACCCATCTTTTTTTGTAGCAATGGATATCATTTTTTGATGATAATCTATAAATCTAGTGATGTCAGTTACTTTTTGAGTTCTTGAGAATGAATTTTGGTCACACTAATCTGAATAACAACTGAAACAAAGGACAACAAGTTCAACATCATGTTATTTCTACGCCTCTTTCTTTTCGTCTGCTTATATAGCTGCGCCTCTTTGTAAGTGCTTTTTTATTGCGTGCCCCGGAATTAATTTCCTCCACAGTCGGAAAGACTTTTATTAGCGTGTTGTGTCAATCTTGATTATCACAATCCCATTTTATCTCCCACATTACAATGTGAATCATGATAAAAAAAATCAAATTATACCCGATTTGTTTGTTTTGTAATTAAAATTTCTAATCCGTAATGTTGACGTCAGCTTTATGCTCTCTCAAACAAAAACGGAAAAAAAAATAATGATGAGCCAGACATATGAAAATGTCAAAACTCTTTTCCACACAAACGGAGGCAGCTCGGCCGCGCTGTTTGTATAATTTCAAAAGTGATGTTTGTGTTGGCAGCTGCCGCTGACACAAAATGAAATAATTGCCGTCTCTGCGCGCGCGTTTCAGCTTTTTGTCTAACCACGCAGACTAAAAAATAATCCTCTGCAGTGACAAGCGACAACTTTGTCGAACGCTCCGGCTCGTTATCATCTGATAAACATGCGCGCAGTAAAATTTGATTTTACGACTCTCGAGCTCTCGCGGGCACGAGTGATGGAATTTTTTTCCACCTTGAGGGGAGTCAATAAAAGCGAGGAAGAATAAAGAGCAGCGATCGTAAAATCACGCCGTTCGGGGTGGTAAAATATCATATATTCTCAGCTAGAAGAACTCTCGGCTCTTTCGCTCCACTTGGTGACGAAACTTTTGTTTAAGAGAGTGGAAAATATAGAGATCACAACTGTTTTATCGGCAAGAAAAAATACTATACCATTTTGTTTAAAAAATTAAAATTTATTTTACTAAAAATTAAAATTGACAACGAGATCATAACGAACAATTAATATATTAAATGTTAAATTATTTACATCAGGAAATCATATATAAATCAATATATGGATCAATAAAAATAAAATGAATTATTGCTTAACAGAAGAGGCTAAATTGCTGAATGCAATTCCCTGAAAAAAGCTAATTTTTTAATTAATAGACAAAAAGTTTCTTATAAAAACGCATTAATTTCGGAAAAAAATTCCAGGAATTGCGGCTATACAGTCAGAATTTAAAAGTTCTGTTCTGCGTCATTTTAATTTTGGTGGCCCCTGCAAAATGTTCTGCAGTTCTCCAATTTTGCCAACTAAATAAGTAAATGGTTTCTCGCGTTTCATTTTCGCGCCACCCGCTCACTTCTGCTTCTACCCCTTCCACAAACACCCATAAATTTCTGAGCAAGTGTGTTTGTAGGTACTCGTGTTTCAGAGAAGAGCAAAGAGATAAAAGTGCCGCAGCCGGGCACGCTTTTTCATTTTCGCGTCGCTCGCTCGCTCCTCCTTTCCCCTCTCTCTCTTTTTCAACTCTTGCCGTCATAACTTTAATACGAAAATATTGTCTCTCGAGATTTGCTGCGCGCGAATATTTTAATCCGTCAGGAACATGAGAAGGATGAAATCATAAGGCGTGTGCACGCCAACTTTATTCTCTTCCTTTTCCTTATCTGCGCGCTGCTCCCGGTTAATAATTCACAACCGAGTTCGAAATTTTGCAGACTGAGCCGCGGTTTTGGTTAATTTTATTTTTCTTTGAAAGAGCTCAAAAGCATTTCGTATAGAAAGGTAATTTTCTTTCCAGTGAGCGGATAAGAAAATATTTCCTTGAAATTTGAAGAAGATTTTCAACGAAACGTGCATGACAAATAATGAATTTTTAATCGAATTATAAAAGTCTCTTTTTCCTTCAAAAAAATACAAAAACTTAAGTTGAAAAAGTCACAGGCATGAAATAAGTAAAACATTTTTGGCGATCCATTTTGAAATTTGATTTATTTCTCTATAAAATATTAACTATGAAATGGCTAACTCTGCAATTAAAAAAAAACCAAAGGAACTGAAATTCTAAATAAAAATATATTTTTCTTACTTTTACTAAAAATATTAATTTGGATTTATCTCAAATTTTTAAAATTTTGTTTTAGCATTTTTGAAAATATTTTTGCATTTTGTTTTAGTTCTAATATGTTAGAAGTTTTTTTTATTATTCAAGCTATAATCAAATTAGGCAATCTTTCACATATTCACTTGCTGGAGAAAAGAATTATAAAACAACTAAAATTTTAGTCATTTTCTTTTCTTTTTCTTTTTTTACTAATTTCCAATTCTCGATTACCATGAAGTACATAAATTAAAGGTTTGAAGGCTTAGACGAAACAAAACATCAATCAAAATCTATGCAAGTTCTCGGTCGCAGATTGCGTCTTACAATTAGTTAGTCATGAGCAAAGAGCTAATTCCTTGCGGGCGCCTCTGGAGAAGTTCTTAATTAAAACAGCGAGAGAGCGAGATTAGAGAGAATTGAACGGCGGAAAAAAGGACAATGTCGATGAATTCAGAATGAGAGAGAAGAGAGCGCGGTGCGGAAGAAATAATCGTGGCGTGAAATGGATTTAAGAATTGCGACTTGCAGCAGCG